CTTCCTGTCTGCTGTGGGTGGGGGCCTCCCACGAGCCTCGGGGGTGGCCTGTGCAGACTTTGTGGCCCCCTTTGGAGTTGGGGGGGCCTTGACCAGCTACAAAGGGCACCTTTAGTTAGTTAACGCCCCCCCGCGAGTCCCATGAGCCTGGGGGGGTTAGGTTGACCAGGCTCCCATGAGCCTCTAGGCGACTCTTACATGACAGAGGGGCAAGGGCCAGAATTAAACTCCCATGAGCCTCTGGGAGGCCACCCCTCGCTTAGGCATGGTCTTCACCAATCCGAGCGCGTCCTAGCTGACGGACAGCCACGGGAACCGATCGCGGCCGGTCGAGTCGTCGGCCGCCCAATGACCGCACACTGCTGCATTGACGTCACCGACACCCGCCCCCGCGACGGGGTCTTCCAACGCCCTTTCCAAAGCCTTTCAGGCACCCGGAGCGCGTGGCGGAATCCCCCAGCCAGTCCCAGTGCGTCTTCGCGCCCCGAGTGCCCGCCCTCCGTCTCCCCCTCCAATCCATGCCTGGATCTCAAGCCGCGCTCCCGCCCACTGTGAAGCGCGGCCAATCTCCCCCCAAACACCAATCCCCACTCGCCTATTCCCTCTGTGAGCCCGCCCCCCACCTTTCCACCACTAGCAGCGCCACCCTGCTCAGAGCGACAACTCAACCCGCCTTCCTCTCCTCCTCCAATAGCGCCCCTTCCCCGGAGTTCCCGCCCAATGGGCGGGTGCGCGCGGAGGACCGACAGGCCGTCCTACCAATAGCAAGAGGCGCGGTGTGCGGCGCACCAATGAGCGTCGAGGGGAGAAAAAGGGGCTGCCCGAGGAGAAAGAAGGAGGAACCCTAACCGAACCCGCACCAATGAGCAGTGGCACTGGGAGGACGGGCGAGCCCGCCCGCCAACAGCAGCGGAGATCGGAGTGGAGTGGCGTGCGGCGCCGCCAACGGGCGTCGAGCGCGGCGCTGAGGAGAAAGGCGCGGCTGGAAGGTTCGCGAAGCGGGCGCCTCAATGGCGACCGGAGCCAACGCCACGCCGCTGGGCAAGCTCCACCCGCCGCCG